TGGGTTCTTTATTTGTCATTCCCCAAGCACCAAGCACATTTTTTTTTTTTTTTTTTTTTTGGTTGGTTGGTTGGTTGGTTTTTGAGACAGAGTCTGGCTCTGTCACCCAGGCTGGAGTGCAGTGGTGTGATCCTGGCTCACTGCAACCTCCACCTCCCAGGTTCAAGCGATTCTCGGCTTCAGCCTCCTGAGTAGCTGGACTATAGGCGTGAGCCACCACGCCTGGCTAATTTTTTGTATTTTTAGTGAGACGGGGTTTCACCCTGTTGGTCAGGCTGGTCTCGAACTCCTGACCTCAGGTGATCCGCCCACCTTGGTCTCCCAAAGTGCTGGGATAACAGGCGTGAGCCACCACAAGCACTTCTATACCTTTTCTTTTTCCTGAGAAATGGCCCCATTTTACAGATGGGAAAAATGAGGCCTGGAGATACATTTCCTGGCCCACAACCAGGAAATGGTGGAGCTGGCACAGGTCCTCAGGCTCCTGCCCCAGACAAGGGGATCCCTATTAAGGAGGGGCAGGGCCTCTCCCAGCCCAAAGAAGCCAGCTGACTTTGTTTCCTTTTTCCACATCTGAAGTGACCCAGCTGCCTAAGGCTGGGTGGAGAGTAGCTAAGGATGGCCTGACTGAAACCAAAGCAGGTGGGGTTGGGGATAAGCCCGGAGATACACGTTAAGTATTCAGGTAAATATCTCCAAGGCAGGCACTGAGAGCTGGCAGCCCTGGGTCTCGGCCCCCTCTGCTGTTGCTTGGTTGGGTGGAGACTGCCAGCCTACACCCCTGTGTCTGCCACCACTGCAAATGGGTTGTACCTAGAGGGAGGGATCACCGATAGCCTGGACAGGCCCTGGCATGGCGGGGACAGGCCCAGGATCCTCTTGGCATCTCCTGGGATTGAAGGCCCTTTGGCTGGCGGAGATGGCCTGAGAGCCAGTGCGGTCCACAGGGAGAAGACAGATGTCCTGAGCAGTGATGACGATGCCCCAGACAGCCCTGTGATTCTCGAGATCCCCTCCTTGCCACCCTCCACTCCACCCTCCACTCCCACCTACAAGAAGTCCCTCCGCCTTTCCTCCGATCAGATTGTAAGTGTGGGTTGTCTGTGTGGAGGTCGGGGAGGGGCTGAGCTAATTCTGTCTGAGAGTCCCTCAGGATCCGGCTGAGAAATGGCTCCAGGGAGCCACACGTTCACCAAAGGCCAGAATCTATCCCCTTGGGAGCCTCCCTGATGGCCTCCACTCGAATACTTCCAAGGGCGAGCGCTCACTTCTTCACATGCCAGCCCATTGGTCTGTCAGACACTGGGAAAGCTGTCTCTTAGGTCCTCCTGAGATATCAACCTGTAGTGAGCCAGCAGGCTCTGGGTCAGCCCTTGGAAGCAACACTGAAAAGAATCAAATGCTGATGACAGTCCCTCAGATTCTGGCAACTCTCGGCCCCAAGTCATATCTTCTCTAAGCTCAGTAACTGGTGGCTCCTGGAATAAGCATATATTTTCTTCATGGGTGTGGCTCCATGGTCAGGGAGGTGTCCAGGAGGAGCTCACCAGCCAGTACAAAGCAGCTGCCATCTGTCGGGTACCCTGGAGCTCACACTCAACTCAGGGCTTTGGTGGGGAACGGCCCTGATCCTTCTCTATGGACCAAGTACAGGGTTACACCTCTCCTTAGGGCAATGTTGACTCAGGTACCCTGGCCCCAAGGAGGGGCTTCCTATGGAGATCCCCACAGGACCCCCATCTATGGAGGGGGGTATCTCCCTGCCAACAGTAGCCCTGGGAATCCTGGGCAGGGAGTCATGGATGTGGCTTTGTCTGTGAGTTACATTTCGAAGGGGAGTGAATGGAGGCTAGGGCTCCTGTGGCCTGCACTGGACAGAGCCCTGATCAGCATGGCCACCCTCTGCCTACATGGATGTGTGTCTGTGCGTGGCTATCTCTGATGAATCCGAGAAGGGTCTCTGAGCTGGGAGGAAGAGGAGAATGAGAGGCCCGAGGGGACTGGAGACCATGGCAGAAGGGGAGAGGTAGGCAGTGCCTGGCTGTTGTTGATCACAACGCATCCCCCTTTGGCCTCAGCGGCGCCTGAACCTGCAAGAAGGTGCCAATGATGTGGTGTTCAGTGTGACCACTCAGTACCAGGGCACCTGCCGCTGTAAGGCCACCATCTACCTGTGGAAATGGGACGACAAGGTGGTCATCTCTGACATCGACGGCACCATCACCAAGTGAGGCTCAGCTGGCTGTGGGAAGGGGAGGGAGAGAGGGGTTATGGACTCGCCTCCCTCTGTGCTGGGTATGGTGGGGACAGTGAGAGGAGCCCTCCCTTCCTGGTGGGGCATCCTGGGGCTGGAGCTGGGCCACATGGAGCTGTCTTGGAGTGACCCTACCTCTCTGGCTATAGGTCGGACGCTCTGGGCCATATCCTGCCCCAGCTGGGGAAAGACTGGACACACCAGGGCATCACCAGTCTCTATCACAAAATCCACCTGTGAGTGCCTGGGCTGGGGCTGGGGCTGAGGCAAGGCCCCTAGCTCTACAGAGGGAGTGACAGGACAGGACATCTTGGGGACCAGCAGGGACCACAAGGGAGCCCGCCAGGGCAGGTGCCTCGGGTGCTGAGACCTCTCTATTGGCCCGCAGTTCTGTGAAAGGCTCATCCCCTGGGGCTGTGTTCTAGGATCAGGGCCACCTACTGGCCTGAGGCAGGAGGGGAGGCCCTCTCCATCCTGGTCCACCCAGGCCTCAGGACTCTGCACCATCCAGCTGAGTCCACTGCTGAGGCCTGGCCGTTCTCCCCAAGTCCTCTCCCTGCATAGGTTGGAACATCAGAGCCCCACAGTTGGGCTGGGCAGGCTGAAGCCAAGGAAACAGATGGGGGCTGGCTGGTCTCTGACGGCTCTATGCCACCCTGTTCCCCACTCTCAGAAATGGGTACAAGTTCCTGTACTGCTCGGCGCGGGCCATTGGCATGGCGGACCTCACCAAGGGGTACCTGCAGTGGGTGAGCGAGGGGGGCTGTAGCCTCCCCAAGGGCCCCATCCTTCTGTCTCCCAGCAGCCTCTTCTCTGCCCTCCACAGGTAACCACCCCTACACGTACAAGCCCATGGTCCCCTGGTGGGGAGAGGCAGGCCCACTGCCAGGCCAGCCTTAGCAGGCTGGCATTAAGCTCTCAGGTGGCAAGGAGGGTGGGGTTAGATCCCCCATTGCCTGAGCCTGCCATCCTCTCTGGCTTCTTCCCTACTTTGGCCCCCTTCCCTGCTGTGGTTCTGGCCACCCCAGAGAGGTGATTGAGAAGAAACCAGAGGTGTTCAAGGTCGCCTGCCTGAGTGACATCCAGCAGCTGTTTCTGCCCCATGGAGAGCCCTTCTATGCTGCCTTTGGGAACAGGCCCAATGTGAGTGTGTCCCCTCCCCTCTGCCGAGCCATCTTTCCCCAGCTGCCTGCAGGCCTCCGTTCCATGGGCCCCTCCTGTCTCCCACAGGATGTCTTTGCCTACCGGCAGGTGGGCCTACCTGAGTCACGAATCTTCACAGTCAACCCCCGGGGAGAGCTCATCCAGGAGCTCATGAAGAACCACAAGTCCACGTGAGGCCAAACCCTGCCACGTGTTCCCCATGCCCTGCCACGTCCCCCTGCCCCGGCTTCTTCCTGGGCCCCAGTTTCACCTCTCACCAGGGATCCTGTCCCTTACTCTGGGCTCCCATGGCCGAGGCCGTGGTTTGGTGGCAGCTCAGGCTCAGTGCTGGCCTCCTTCTGCCTGTAGGTATGAGCGCCTTGGTGAGGTGGTTGAGCTCCTCTTCCCACCTGTGGCCCGTGGCCCCAGCACAGACCTAACCAACCCTGAATACAGTAACTTCTGCTACTGGCGGGAGCCACTGCCCACTGTGGACCTTGATACCCTGGACTGAACCTGCCCTGGCCGGCTTCTCCTCCCTGGCCCGGCCCAGAACTGACTAGGTGTACCGGGGTATAGGAGGGTGGGAGCTGGAGTGCCACGGGGCAAACCCACTGAAGGGGAAGAAGGGGGCTACAGGTTGGTTGGAGCTAGAGAGACTCCCCCATCTTCCCCGTCCTATTTTTGCCAGCTAAGCTGCAGATGCTCCAGGCGTCAGTGTGGCACTGACCTGGGGCAATTAGTTTGTCATCTGGGTTTTTTTGTTTTTTTTTTTTCTGAGACAGGGTCTTGCTCTGTTGCCCAGGCTGGAGTGCAGTGGCATGATCTTGGCTCACTGCAACTTCCGCCTCCCAGGTTCAAGCGATTCACCTGCCTCAGCCTCCCAAGTAGCTGGGATTACAGGCATGTACCACCACGCCTGGCTAATTTTTGTGATTTTAGTAGAGATGGGTTTCCACCATGTTGGCCAGGCTGATCTTGAACTCCTGACCTCAAGTGATCTGCCCACCTCGGCCTCCCAAAGTGCTGGGATTACAGGCATGAGCTACCATGCCTGGCCTCCTTGCAGGGTTCTCTATGCCCTTGATATCCCTCTCAACCTGGGACCTTGCTGTAACTCTTGATAGAACAGGGAGAAGAGGGAGGCCCCACTGAGGCTCGAGGCATCAGTGAAGGGTTGGTGGCAGCCGTGGGAGTGTGGTGCAGCCTCTGGAAGGACGTAGTGTTTTCCCCGCCCCTTATCTGGGAGCCAGGACTGTACCCTCTGAAGCCAGACATCACTGCCAACACATCCCCCTTGCTGGTGCCCTGGCATCTCAGCACATGATACACACCCACACCTGCAGGCTGAGAGAGTGTGGCTCCAGCTTGGCCTGCTCCCCGTCTGGCTGCTGTCACTGCCTCTCTCCAGACCGCCCTTAAAGACAGTCCCAAACTCAGCCGGGGCAGGTGGGTGTTGGCCTGACAGTCCTCCCCCAGTCTCTGCTGGCCAGCTTGGTGCTCACAGCTGCTCGGTAAGCTCTTGCCTAAGGAGCTGTGGGAAGCAGGGATAATGCCCCAGCAACCTCTCCTCCCACTGTCTTTGGTGAAGAAAGTAGCTTTAGACTGGCTAAAAGCTTTAATCCAGATCTGCCCTACTCCGATAGTACCAGAGTGGAGGGCAGAATACCAAATGTCCAGGAACAGAAGGCAGGGCTGTGGGGACCTGAAGAGCAGCACAGCGGGGCCCGTGCTGCTGTGGGGGAAACTGAGGCTGGGAGCCTCAGCAGAGACGGGTATCAGAGTCTCTGGGAACTGCATAGGCCTGAGGAACATGCGTTTTCAAGTTGTCCATTGATGGTTTCGTACCTGAATTTCTCACCTTTTGTGAACATCCTGGGAGGGTGGGGGTTTTGCAGGGCTGTTAAAAGCAAGGCCTGGAGCTCCTTTCCTCCAGCTGGGGACTCCTTCTCAGGGCCTGGCCTCATTCAGGCCACTTTCTAGAGAAATGCCCTGACCTCACAGGAAGGATTTCCCCACCCCCAAGTGGAAGGAAGAGGACGGTGCGGGCACCAGAGAGCCCTGGAAACATTTTAGGGGAAGGAAAGGAAAAGGATAAATTTGGGGTGGGGGGTCTCTAAACAGTTTGCCTGCATTTAGTTCTTTCCTGGGGTTCTACAGCTGCCTAAGCCCTCACCTTGGGGGAGGATCAAAGGGAATAAAGAGAACTCTTGTCTGAGTCTTTGTGCTTCTGTTCTGTCCTGAAGGACGTGTGAGGAGCCAGAAACATCTGGCAGCCTCTGGTCCTTAGTTCAGATACAGCATCCATGAAGCTGCCAGGTGTGAGGACAGTTCCAGTGGGTATCACCTTCCTGCACAAACCTAGTCCTGATGGCTGCAAGGAGAAGCTGAGGGGACAAGGAACAGAAGCCACCAAAGGCTGTGGACTATTGCTTGTGGGCACAGGGCAATGTGGACAGGCCACTGGCTGTGGGCCTGTAGGTCTTTGCACAGTTGCTGACACTGGTGCTGACTGCCTGCAGGGTCCTCTCAACGCCTTACATATGAGCATTGATCAAGGCCAGTTGGCCACAGCAGCTGCACCTGCCAGCCACGCTCAGGCCCTGCAGCTGGCTGCCCAGATACTGATTTGCAGACAGTGGAATCTCTCAAGTCCACCCTGGCCTTCAAGCACGACATCCTTGCCTTGACTGCTGTCCGGAACTGTCCAGTTTGTGCAGCACTGTGCATGGGTTTTGGTGGCTGGGATAGCCATATGGAGCTAGACCAAGACCACTCCCTCAGTGGCCTCTTTAGTGCCATCTGGGCTAGCCAGGGAAGGCTGGAAGGCGCTGCTGGATAAGGCTGGGCTCTGGGGTGATGTTCCCCGAGTTGGTGGGATCTAGGGGTTGGGTCCTGGCCAGCCTGTCTAGTTGGCTTTCCCTGGTCGTGCCTGCTCAGCCAGCTGGGCCTGGCAGTCCAGTAGGTCGTCCCGGAGGCGGGCAATGTCCTGTGTGTGCTGGGCCAGCGTACGATTCAGCTGGTCCACATGGCTCCACAGGCCCTCTCTGGACCTCAGTGGCTCAGTGGACAAGCTGTCCAGGCCCACAGCCAGCAGGCCCAGCCTCCTGCATGCACCCTCCACTTGTGCCACCCGCTGGTCAAAGTGTCCCACTGTGTGCTGAAGTTTCTGGGCTGTGTCCTGGCAGCGGCTCAGCCCACTGGCCACCTTGGCCACACCAGCCTTGAGTTGCTCCAGCTCCCCCCGCAGGTTCAGGACCTGCCTGTGGCCAGCCTGAAGCCTGGAGCCTTGGCTGCTGACCTGCTCCTGGATGGCGTGGACTTCGGCTTCCACCTTGCGTTCCCGCTCATCCAGGGACGTGTTGGCAGCCAAGAAGGCATCAGAGTACTGGCTGACAGAGTCACTGAGGCCCGTGAGCGACTTGCTCACTGAGTTCAGATTGACCTTGAGCAGAGTGATCTCGCCTTGGAGTGAGCTGCCCGTCCCTTCTGCCAGCTGTCCCTGGACCTCAGCCACAGTGCCATTGAGCTGCTGGAGCAGTGCTGCGTGGCTGGCCACCTGGCGTAGGAGGGCCTCGCTTCGGCTCTGCCAGGCCTTCACCTCTGCCACGAGGTTGTCCAGGATGGCTGAGGTGGTGCTCGGGGTGCACGAAGTCTCCAGTGAAACCAACCGTTGCTCCAGCACGGCCAGCTCTGTCTGCACGAGGGGCCGAGCTGACCTGCCTGGAGGGGCGCTGTCACGGCTTAGCTCCCCAGCCAATGTCACTAGGCGCTCCTCGAGGCTCTGCACGCGCTCTTCCAGCATGGTCCCAAAGCTACCTGCTCCCCACCCCCCCATCTCCAACCTCAGACAGCATCCCCTTGCTCCACCCTCTGTCCCATTGAGCATCTCTAGACCCTCAAGCAGCCCGTCCACACCTCCCTCGAGCATGGCAGCAGAGAGCCTCGTAAGCTCATCCCTGGCTGGGGCACCGGGGCCCCTTTGGGTCTCGGTGACTGCCTGCAGGGTCCTCTCAAGGCCATCCATACGGGCATTGATCAAGGCTAGTTGGCCACAGCAGCTGCCCCTGCCAGCCACACTCAGGCCCTGCAGCTGGCTGCCCAGCTGTGACAGCTCCTGGCGCAGGGCTAGCTCCCGGCCATCAAGGCTCTGGTGCAGCCTCCGGCTGGCAGCCTGGCCCTCCTCACATTGCCGCCGCACCTCCTGCACCCGCAGGTCGCACTCACTCTGGACGCCTTGCAGCTTCTGCTCGAAGCCATCCAGCAGGCTTCCCCAGAGTCGGTGCAGCCGTCGGTCCACATACTCCTCCAGCAGGGCCAGGGAGGTGAGCGGGGATGGTGGGGCTTCCCGCAGCCGCTGCAGGTGGGCCTCATGGCCGAGTGCCAGCCCATGCACTTTGTCTAGAAGCTGCACCTTGGTCCGAAGAGCGTTGCTCACCTCTGTCACCTTGCTTAGGATCTCATCCAAGGGAGGTGTTAGCGGCCCTCTGGCTCTGTCTCCTGGGTCCACAAGCCCCTCAGGGATGACCCCAAAGCCCACAGGGGCAGCAGGAGCCCGGGGACCACCAGTCATCCTATTGGGGTCCTCGTGGCTGGCCACCAGGCCACTGAGGGTACCATATGTTTGGGCCAGGCGCTGGACGTCACCCTCCAGGCGTTCCAGTCGCTCACCAAACAGCCCTGGGCCTTTCCTTCCTGAGAAAGAGGAGAAGACAGCCCCAGGGGCATCACTGGCCTCACGCTCTCAGCTTGTCACACTGCCAGGCCACCCAAGAGACTTTCTGTTCTAAGCCTACCTTCTCACTCAGCATAACTCCCTCAGCTTTATGGTGGGGTGAAGGTGGGGCTTGGGGGTTCCTCCTCGCCATCCATGCCGGAGCTCAGCTAGCCTGGGATCAGTCCCCTCCCTGCCCCTGCCACTGAGCCCAAGAAACCCAGTCACTTTGGAGGGTCTCCTTGGGCAGACTCACCGTGAGGACTGGGGACTGCTCTGCTGTAGGAAGGGGGCCTGGGACCTGGGCCCAGCTGCCCCGAAGGAATCTGAGGCTCAGGCTCCAGCTGGGGTGGGGCAGCCCCATGGTCCGTGAGGTGCTCAGGGCAGCGTTCCCCAGTGAAGCCAGGACAGCAACGCCAGGCGAGTTCTGTCACTGTCTTGTAGCCAACCTTGTATTTGGGTCTGAGTACTGTGCGGTACCTGGGCCAGGAAGAGCAAGACAGCAGGATCCTGCACCTGAGGGCTGTGCTCCTCGCCCTAGCTGGCACTCAGGGCCACCCTCAGACACTTGCATAAGGCTGTGTGTCTCCCCACCCCCATACCACCCCCAGGGTTTTACTTTTTCTGTGCTTAAGGTGACAGGGGTGGGGTAAGGGCAGGCCTCCCTGGAGCTCACAGTCATGTTAGGGAAGGATACAGGTAGAAGTCCCACCCATCCTGGTAGCTTGGAGAGAAGCAGGAATTTCACCCCATCACTTCCCAAGACCACATGGACCCCTTCTAGCTCATGCTGCCATGAGAAATTCCACTCAGGCTGCAGTGGCACCTGGGAGAACTCAGACACAGCTCCAGCCCTCCCTGTGGGCAGGGAGGGGCACTGCCCTGGAGCTGGCGCTGGCAGTCCCCTCACTGCCCTGGGGGCCACTCTTGGCTCCCACCTGCTCCCCTTAGTTCTTTCCACTCCTCTGTAGCCTGCTCCGGGACCTTGGCTCTGGTCAGAGAGGCTGGTGGATGGGCACCTCTGATTGTGAGCAGGGAAGGGAAGGTCTGGGGTGCAGGCAGGCTCACGAGGGTCCATGCCCTCACCTGTTCAGCCACATACCTGTTTACCCACTGACACACCGGATAACAGGTTTGTTTCCACACACACATGTGAACCTCTCCAAGTACAGACCTGTGCATCCCACGTGCATGCAGTCCCACAGGTCCTCACGTGCAGCCCTGCTGCTCCGGCTTCCTCTCCCTGCCCCATGGCCTGCCTCCTTGTGGTCACCACGGTCCTCCCTGGGCCTGCCAGGCCCCCCTGTGGCATCACCCATTGCCTAAGGGTGGGTGCTCCCTCCTCTCCCCTCACCTTCTGCCTCTGTCACTTCCTCCTAGCCTTGTGCTGCCTCTGCCCCCAGAACCCTCCCCTTGTCCCTCTGTAGTTCCTGGGCTCCAACCCAAGCCTGCCCCTGTCTGTACAAGTGATACTCTGCTGCAAGCCCAAATCCCTGGGATCCTCCCTGGCACCCTCTTTTCTGGGGCCGCCTTCTACTCTGGCCTGTATGGGGGCTCAGGTGGGCTTTCTGGAGTCCAAGAATCCCCTTCTGGAATTGGCAGCTGCTCTCAGCTGAAGGCAGGACTGGCACTTGTGCCAGGGGATTCCAAGGGTGTAGGTGAGGAGTGCACTTACGTGACTGTCCCGGGGCACTTGGGCCCCCATCCACACTGCCGGTATTCAGCCTTTACGTAGCTCTCCGCTCCCTCCTGTAGGATGCAGGTCACATTCCTGTGCACCACATAGGCACAGAGGGCCCTACAGGAGAAAATGGTACCCCTGAAATATCTGGCTGAGCAAGGCCCATGGAGGCTCCTACCCTCCCACCTCCCACTGTGGGCCTCAGCAGGGCTCCAGACCCCATGTCTCTTCTGTCTGTTCTGTGTCCCTGGAAGCCAACGCCCTTGGTCTGGGGTCCAGCCCCACTGCTGTTCTCTGATTCCAGCCTCCCTGATGGGTGGCCCCTGGGCTAAGCACTATTTGGAACCAGGAGTCTGATGTGGCTGCCCCTCCCTGCATGGGGAGGAAGCCAGCCCGGATTCTCCCTCAAGTGCCCTGCCACACCCCCATCCTTCCCTGATTCCAAACTCCTTATCTTGGCATTCAAGGCTCCTGAGTCCCCACTCGGTGACTCCTTTGAGAGCACCATGTCTTGTCCTTCCTCCCCTGCCTGGCTCCCAGAGAAATCCACCTCTCCTTGTAGTTTTGTAGCCCTTGCCTTTGGTCCTGTTCCCTCACTCTCAGAGCAGTTATTGTACCACCTCCTCTAGGAGGCTCGCTCTGATGTACCCAGGCCCACTGAGTGTCGGTACTCGTCCTCCTACAACAGCGCTCAAATTCAGCTAGAATTCAAGTTCAGCCAGCACCCTAGGCAGAGCCTCCAGCCCACTTAACTGAGGCCAGTTTGCAAGCCACTGTCCACGAAACACCAGAAGCTGAGGCGGGGGCAGCAGGCTCTTTGATGAGCCACAAGGGCTGAGGAGGTGGCTGCCTGGCATAAGCCGACCACTGTGGACGGCTATGCCACAGCACGGGCCCGGAGCCAGGAGCCCGCACTGGCTCTGCAGCCAGGCCACGCTGGGGCTCCCATGCGGTTGCTGGGGCCAGGCTGACTGCGAGGGGGGAGCGGCCGCCCCAATGCGCAGCTCCATCTCCTACCTGGCGGGGCAGGGGAGAAAGGGGAGGCCCGGGGCGGGGGAGCCCCGCGTGCTTAGCGCGCGGACCGCCCTTCCTCCTCTCCCTCCACCTGGGTCCGCTCGCCCGGAGTCTGCACACAGCGCAGCTGGAAAATGTTACTTCGCTGGAAAGGTTTCCGCGGGCACTGCCAGGATCCCAAGCCGCCGCGCCAGGCCCCCTCGGTTCCTTTTTCCTCGCCAGCCCCGCAACCTCCCGGAGCGTGGGGCGCCCTCCCGAGCAGGGGCTCTGCCCCGGGCGCCGCCGCCTCCATGCAGCGGCCTCGGGGGGCCAGTGGCCTCGACGCCCCCCGCGGGTGCGGGCAGGTGGGAGCGGCGGCGCGCGCGGGCCCATTCCTCCCTCTTCCCGCCCGCCGCCCGCCGCCCGCCCGCGCTTACTTGTGCGGCCCCGGGCGCAGCCGCGGGCGCCATCCCGTCGTGTAGAGACTGTAGCGGGAGGCACCGGGCGGCGCGGGCCGCGCCAGGAGCGGGGTGCCCTTGGCCTGCGCCCCCGAGAGCAGCGCCGCGACGGCGCACAGCCAGACAGGCAGGCGGCGGCGGCCCATCGCGGTCCCCGCGCCTCTGCCCGGCCCCGCGCGGTGCCCCCCGCCGTGTGTCCGCCCGCAGCGCCGCGCCGCCCTCGCCGCTGGTCGGCCCGGGTCCCGCCCCGAGGGTCTCGTGGTCCCCTTCGACCCCCCGAGCTCGCTGGCCCGGCCGCCTGGCGCTTCGCGGTGGCTGCGTCCCGCGGAGTGGCCGGCGCTGCTCGCGGCTGGGGCCGCGGAGGGGAGGCGGGAGGCGGGCTCTTTGCGGATTAGCATAAACTTGGGGCCGCGCCGCTCGCGGCCGCCAGCCCCCTTCGCCGCCGCCAGCCCCCCGCCCCAACTCCGAGCGGACAGCCGAAGGGCCGCCTGCGAACAGGAGGTTCCGAAGGGAGCAGCCCCGGGTGGCAGGGGCGCAGGCTGCTGCGCCCTGGGAGGCCCCAGAGCACACCAGCCACTCTGTCGCCTGCGGGCCCAGGACCGAAGCAAAGAAGCGGACCCCTGAGGCCAGCCTGCGCGTGGGCTCTCCAGGAGCCGCCCACCCGCAGGATACGGGTGTCTTCAGAGTCCATGTGAACCCGGGAACTGCTCTCCAGGGCTCTGGAGCCGAGATGGCCGTGTTTGGGGGCACACCAGCACCACCTCCCCCGCCACCTCTTTGGAATAGACCCCAGATCGTCCCCGTTTGCTCGCTCTGCCTCCTGGTACCATCATTATCTGGGGGTGCCCGGGACCCTTAGTTTGATAACTCCGCTGACCTCTCCCCAGGCGTCCTACCTCCCCCTTACCCCGCAACCTCTGCCACCTAGCCTGGTGGCCCTGTTGCACCTCTAGTTCTCTGGAGAGGCTTGTGTTTCCTGTCTGTCTTAGGTATGGGCTGCACCGATCCCGAAAGGCCCATCACTGCCCCAGCCGAGCCAAAAGTGCTGTGCTTTTTGTGCAACTGAAGCTCTAAGCCGGCTGGTCAAAGAAAATCTTCAGGTCTTTCTCACAAGGCACTGCCGCCGTGAAGCCAGGCGTCGTCCACATTTTGCTTGTGAAGTTGACTCTTGGAACCCAAGAGGTGGGTTTTATCGTCGTCCTCATTCAATATCACCTTGCTAACTCTCTAACCTGCACAGAACCCTTGAATCCTGATTCTGTCATCAGAGTGGTACTTTCCTGGACTTGTCTCATCCACACGGGTGGCTACAGCCTTCTGTGTTTTTGCCCCAAGAGCTGATAGGTGCACGGAACTCTGGGGCTTGCCTGGAGAGACCTCCCTCCAAATTGACCTTGAGATATGAATTAGTACCTTTTGGACAGGGCGATGGTTATGAAGGATACTGGAAGGGGCAGCTCTGAAACCCACATCTATTCCCTGCCCTCAGCTTTAGTGGCTTGTGGGTTCTGTGGGGCAGACACCTGACCCCAGCTAGGCCCATTCTGCTTTCTCCCAGGCTTTGGAATCAGAACACAGAAGCTGAAGGAATCCAGTTTCCAGGTGTAGGTTGTGTGAGTTTCTCCGGGCTGTGGTAACAGCCACAGGCTCAGTGGCTTAACACGCAGAAATGTATTCTCCCACAATTCTGGAGGCTAACTCTAAAATCCAGGGGCCAGCAGGGTCATGCCTGCTCCAGTGGCCCTGGGGAGAAGCCTTCTTTGCCTCTTCCAGCCACTGGTGGTTCCTGGCAATCTCTGGCATTCTTTGGTCAAGGATTCTTTGTAGCAGCATCACTCCTACCTCTGCTTTTGCCTCCACATATCCCTGTTCACGCGACCTTTTTTCTCTGTGTCCTTTCCTCTTGTTTGGTCTGTGTCCTTTTCTCTTGTTTTTGTTTTTTGTTGTTGTTGTTGTTTTGAGATGGAGTCTCGCTTGGTTGCCCAGGCTAGAGTGCAGTGGTGTGATCTCAGTTCACTGCAATCTCCGCCTCCCGGGTTCACGCCATTCTCCTGCCTCAGCCTCCCGAGTAGCTGGAACTACAGTTGCCCACCACCATGCCTGGCTAATTTTTTTGTTTTTAGTAGAGACAGGGTTTCACCGTGTTAGCCAGGATAGTCTCGATCTCCTGACCTCGTGATCCGCCCGCCTCAGCCTCCCAAAGTGCTGGGGTTACAGGCATGAGCCACCGTGCCTGGCCTTTTTGGTTTTGTTTTTAAATTTGAGACAGGGCTGGGCGCGATGGGATCCTCCTGCCCCCGCCTCCTCTGTAGCTGGGACCACAGTTGTGCACCACCATGCACAGCTCCTTTTTAAATTTTCTGTAGAGATGGGATCTCACTTTGTTACCCAGGCTGGTCACAAACTCCTGAGCTCAAGTGATGCTCTCACCTCAGTCTCCCAAAGTGCTGGGAGCCACTGCACCCAGCCCAGCCTCCTCTTCTTATAAGGACACCAGTCATTGGATATAGGGCCCAACATAATCTCATCTTAAATGAGTACATCTGCAGAGACCTATTTCCAAATAAGGTCACGTTCTGAGGTTCCAAATGTTCATGAATTTTGGGAGGGGCCCAATTCAGTCCACTACAGGGACACTTGGCTGGTAATGATAGGAGAGACCATGAGAGCTCTGGGGGAATCATGGGAAATGGAGAAAGAGGGTGGTCAGGGGAGAGTGGGGCAGAGTCATGGGGCTGTGTGGTGAGTAAACATCTGTGGACAAGCTGTGTCTTCCCTATCTGCTTCCCAGTAGTCCACCACTGGAGCTAGCTTGAATGGGTTTCTGATCCCAGCAACCAAATGCACCCTACAGAGAGAAACTTCTCTAGTAAGGAACTGTGGAAATGATCCTTGAAAGTATAGTCTTACAGCAACCAAATGGTGCCTAAGACAGCCTCTCGCTCTCCCTATAAAACCACCGAATGTTTTATTATATTCTCCAACCTCTAAGAGAGATGTTATGAACCATTTTGCTGAGGGCAAGACACACCATATCCACAACATGCTCTTGATCTTGTAACCACTGACTTTGCGCTTTTTAGGAAGTGAGAAACATCTGAGAGGAACATGAACAGAGTCAGCTCCTCATCCTAGGCTGGGTGCTGACTGCCTGGCAGCATTACCCAGACTGGCTCTGGGAGGAAACTCCCCCACCCCAGAGGCTGTGATCTTTTTCCAAGGGGTCCCACCCCTTCCTCTCATTCCCTTCCCCAGCCCCAGCTGTGGAACCCAAAACTCACAGAGAAGAGGCTGGACCCTGTTTGAGCTTGGGAATCTCCATGTCACAGGGGCTGAAAGGACAGCTGGACCCCACTTCCCCCTTTTCCAAGTGGCTGACATCAAACCCTATGCTCCCTCTTTCACTGCAACAGTTTTGGGAGCCAGGATTGGGCCCCATTCTAGTGGGGGTGGAGGACCTCAGTACAGGGGGATGCTCAGGGTCTTGGCTGGATCAGGCCAGAGCTGGGGTCCCCCCAGTAGACGATGAGGCGACTTTGCATCTGCCAGACAGGAAACCTAGGGAGGCCAGAAGCAGAGGGGGAAAGGAGGCAGTCACGTTCCTCTGATTCAGACTGGAGTTTCTACACCTGAATGGAAACGGGCCACACACAGGAGTGGGAGTGCAGTTTCTGTTCACAGGGACATGCACAACCACATCCAGACACACCCAACCCATCCCCCATACCACTATCACGCATGTGCATGAACACACACAGTTTTTCCTTTTGTACAGATGGGGTCTCACTATGCTGCCTAGGCTAGTCTCAAACTCCTGTCCTCAAGTGATTCTCCTGCCCAAAGTGTTGGGATTACAGGGGAGAACCCCATGCATCCTGCCTTTTCTGTTTTCTTTTCTATTTTTTTTTCTTTTTTTTTCTTTTTTTTTTGAGATGGAGTCTCACTCTGTTACCCAGGCTGGAGTGCAGTGGCATGATCTCTGCTCACTGCAACCTCCGCCTCTCGGGTTCAAGGGATTCTTCTGCCTCAGCCTCCCAAGCAGCTGGGATTATAGGCACAAGCCACCACACCCAGCTAATTTTTTGTATTTTTTGTATTTTTTTTTTCCAGTAGAGACAGGGTTTCGCCATGTTGGCCAGGCTGGTCTCAAATGATCCGCCCACCTCGGCCTCCTAAAGTGCTGGGATTACAGGCATGAGCCACTACATCCGGCCTTTCCTTTTCTTATTGAGGGCCCAGCACAGAAGATTATTAAAAACCACACAAAGTTGTGTGGGATGAAGTTCCCCTAAAAGACACAGAAATAGAAAGCACTGAAGCTGCTGGCTTTCTGGCACAAGCCCTTCCTGCTGCAGATGGACCCCTCCTGCACAGGGACCACAGCCCTTGAAGGTACCAGCCCTAAGGTACAGCCCTTTGTCAGTGCCCATCTCCCCTACCCTCTTTTTTTTCTTTTTTGAGAGTGCACAGCTAGGCCTCCCTGCAGACAGAGCCACCTTTGGAAGTTCTGTGCAGCAAGGCTCTTTGCCCAGGCTCACTTTTTTCTGCACATCATCACCATCAGCATTTTGATTATACCTGCACCATCAAAACAGGTTATACCAAATGCAAATGAGTTTCTGGGGCAGGAGTTTGCACTGACCCCATCCAGCTGGGCAGAAGCAGGGCTTTTCCAGGATCCTGGTGGGGGATAGATGTGCAGCCTGAAGGTGAGGTCCTGGAAGAGTCCAGAAACTGTGGAAACTGGGCTCTGTAAAGCCTGGACAGACTTCCATTGAGTGAGAGTAGCTTAGGAACAACTTAGAAATTGTGCAATGCTGATGGACTCTCAGCATGGACATATGCAAACCAGATGCAACATTATGCAAATTATATACAAAATACATGCACAGGTCTCCCAACTATTGCAAATGCCAGATATGGTCCTTGAGGACCCTGAGTTTAGCTGAGACCTGTTGTGGGGCAGAGAGATCACCCTGGACTTGCTCTTTCCTTCCTCCCTCCCTCCCTCTCTCCCTCCCTCCCTCCCTCCATTCCTTCCTTCCTTCCTTCCTTCCTTCCTTCCTTCCTTCCTTCCTTCCTTCCTTCCTTCCTTCCTTCCTTCCTTCTTTCTTTTTTTTTGTGTGTGTTGAGACTGACTCACACTCTGTTGCCCAGGCTGGAGTGCAGTGGCGTGATCTTGGCTCACTGCAACCACCGCCTCCCAGTTTCAAGCCATTCTTGTGCCTCAGTCTCTGGAGTAGCTAGGACTACATGCATGAGCCACCACACCCGGCTAATTTTTGTGTTTTCAGTAGAGACGGGGATTTACCATGTTGGCCAGGCTGGTCTTGAACTCTTGACCTCAAGTGATCCACCTGCCTCGGCCTCCCAAAGTGCTGAGATTACAGGTGTGAGCCACTGCCCCCAGCTAGGACTTGCCAGTTTTCTTATGGTGGGCAGGAAGGGCTTTGCTCCAAGGTAGTTCA